CTGTAAAAATCATCTCTACAGGCCAATAGAATCTAACTAAAAATTTTGTATAATTCAGCTTTGGGCCTGTAGATTCAAAAGTTTATCGTGAAGACTGAAATGCTTAAAGATACTGGCTATTTTTATGAAAATCTCATCAAAGAAAAGACAGGCATATATCTTGTCTCAAATGTCTAATATGCATGTCGCAGGGATCAACCTAAATTTTTGTGATTGGGTCTGTTGCTGAGGTACTGTAAGTATATTCAACAATATTCTTTGTATAAAATGATTGTAAAATGTCATCACAGATACCCAGTACGTTCATTAAGGACCCCAAGACACATGTTTTGTCAACAATAAACTCATAAGTGGCACTTCAATCAAAACAGACCAAAGCCAAAACAATTATGAAGTAGAAGAGCATTAAAAACCAAAGTGTGCTTGTATGTCTGAAGGTTCCTCAGATTTAAACTCATTTTATGGTGCTTGTATGTCTGAAGGTTCCTCAGATTTAAACTCATTTTATTGTATGTCTGAAGGTTCCTCAGATTTAAACTCATTTTATTGTATGTCTGAAGGTTCCTCAGATTTAAACTCATTTTATGGTGCTTGTAATGTCTGAAGGTTCCTCAGATTTAAACTCATTTTATGGTGCTTGTAATGTCTGAAGGTTCCTCAGATTTAAACTCATTTTATGATGCTTGTATGTCTGAAGGTTCCTCAGATTTAAACTCATTTTATGGTGCTTGTATGTCTGAAGGTTCCTCAGATTTAAACTCATTTTATTGTATGTCTGAAGGTTCCTCAGATTTAAACTCATTTTATTGTATGTCTGAAGGTTCCTCAGATTTAAACTCATTTTATGGTGCTTGTAATGTCTGAAGGTTCCTCAGATTTAAACTCATTTTATGGTGCTTGTAATGTCTGAAGGTTCCTCAGATTTAAACTCATTTTATGATGCTTGTATGTCTGAAGGTTCCTCAGATTTAAACTCATTTTATGGTGCTTGTATGTCTGAAGGTTCCTCAGATTTAAACTCATGTTATGGTGCTTGTATGTCTGAAGGTTCCTCAGATTTAAACTCATTTTATTGTATGTCTGAAGGTTCCTCAGATTTAAACTCATTTTATGGTGCTTGTAATGTCTGAAGGTTCCTCAGATTTAAACTCATTTTATGGTGCTTGTAATGTCTGAAGGTTCCTCAGATTTAAACTCATTTTATGGTGCTTGTATGTCTGAAGGTTCCTCAGATTTAAACTCATTTTATGGTGCTTGTATGTCTGAAGGTTCCTCAGATTTAAACTCATTTTATGGTGCTTGTATGTCTGACGGTTCCTCAGATTTACACTCATTTTATGGTGCTTGTAATGTCTGAAGGTTCCTCCAATTTAAACTCATTTTATGGTGCTTGTATGTCTGAAGGTTCCTCAGATTTAAACTCATTTTATGGTGCTTGTTATGTCTGAAGGTTCCTCAGATCTAAACTCATTTTATGGTGCTTGTATGTCTGAAGGTTCCTCAGATTTAAACTCACTTTATGGTGCTTGTATGTCTGAAGGTTCCTCAGATTTAAACTCACTTTATGGTGCTTGTATGTCTGAAGGTTCCTCAGATTTAAACTCATTTTATGGTGCTTGTATGTCTGAAGGTTCCTCAGATTTAAACTCATTTTATGGTGCTTGTATGTCTGAAGGTTCCTCAGATTTAAACTCATTTTATGGTGCTTGTATGTCTGAAGGTTCCTCAGATTTAAACTCATTTTATGGTGCTTGTATGTCTGAAGGTTCCTCAGATTTAAACTCATTTTATGGTGCTTGTATGTCTGAAGGTTCCTCAGATTTAAACTCATTTTATGGCGCTTGTATGTCTGAAGGTTCCTCAGATTTAAACTAACTTTATGGTGCTTGTATGTCTGAAGGTTCCTCAGATTTAAACTCATTTTATGGTGCTTGTATGTCTGAAGGTTCCTCAGATTTAAACTCATTTTATGGTGCTTGTATGTCTGAAGGTTCCTCAGATTTAAACTCATTTTATGGTGCTTGTATGTCTGAAGGTTCCTCAGATTTAAACTCATTTTATGGTAAGTTTTTGTGATAAAGTCCTTTGTCTTTGATACTTTAAGTAATTGGTCCATTTTATTCAGTGCATAGAATTATTCTAAAAGAGAGTTGAAAGATACCAAAGGGACATTCAAACTCATAAGTCGAAAAATAAACTGACAACGCCATGGCTAAAAAAGAAAAAGACCAACAGACAAACAACAGTACACAAAACACAACATAGAAAACTAAAAACTAAGCAACACGAACCCCACCAAAAACTGGGGGTGATCTCAGGTGCTAAAGAAGGGTAAGCAGATCCTGCTCCACATGTGGCACCTGTCCTGTTGCCCATGTAAGACAAACTAGGTGATAAGTCTAATTCCGTAGGTCACATTCGGAGACAAGGGGACAGGATTGTAATTACGACAATTGGAACATATCCATCGTCATCTGTGAAACAGATATTCCATAACGGTCAACAAACCGTAAGGTGTACAAGTCTGTGTGACAGAGTTCTTCTGGAATTTCCGACATACTGATAGATCATTGATTATGTAAAATTCATATGATAGTGATACCTATAGTAAGAAATAAGTATTATAAAGATTTTCAACAGAAATTTGAAAATATATTAGTTAAGCATGCGAGACATATCTCTTGAATAACAACTCAACAAATTTACTCCTGAAAACTTCACCTAATAACCAGCTGTCAAATAATTTCCAACATCAATACAAACACAAGAGTGCACACACTGAAATGTCTCGCCTGCTTTACTACCATTGATTTTATGTTTATAGCCCTGAATATAAAGCTTTACTACAAGTATCACATTAACTTATCATGATCCAATAATATGAGGTCAAGGTCAGATAAACCAAGCCAGAAATACAGGTACACCTTACAATCATTCCATACATTGAATATAGTTGACCTATTGCTTATAGTATACAAGAAACAGACCAAACCATGAAAACTTTATATTGACCAATGAACCATGAATATGAGGTCAAGGCCAGATGAACCCTGCCAGACAGACATGTACACTTTACAATTATTCCATGGATCAAATATAGTTGACGTATCAAATATAGTATCGAAGAAACAAACTTAACCACAAAAACTTATCATTGACCAATGAACTATGATAATGAGGTCAAGGTCAGATGATACCTGCCAGTTGGACATGTACACCTCACAATCATTCCATACACCAAATATAGTAGACCTATTGCTTATAGTATCTGAGATATGGACTTGACAACGAAAAACTTGAACATTGTTCACTGATCCATGAAATGAGGTAATAGTCAAGTGAAAACTGTCTGACAGGCATGAGGACTGTGCAAGGTAGTCAAATACCAAATATAATCATCCTATTACTCATAATAAGAGAGAAATTAACATGTCAAAAAATCTTAACTTTTTTTTCAAATAGTCACTGAACCATGAAAATGAGGTCAAGGACAAAGGACATATGACAGACGGAAACTTCATAACATAAGGCATCTATATACAAAGTATGATTCATCTAGGTCTTCTACCTTCTGAAATATTAAGCTTTTAAGAAGTTAGTTAACACCGCCACCGCTGCTGCAAGATCACTATCCCTATGTCGAGCTTTCTGCGACAAAAGTCGCAGGCTCCACAAAAAATGGAGGGTAAACTAAAATTAAGTCATCATCAAAAACAGACAATTAAAGAGGGTTAACTAGAATTAGGTGATCTCAAAAACCAGACAATAGCAGAAGGTAAACTACAGTTATGTGATCACAGAAACCTGACAATAACAGAGGATAAACTAGAGTTAGGTGATCACAGACACCAGAAAATAATGGATGGTCAACAAGAGTTTAGTGATCACAGAAACCAGACAATAACAGAGGGTAAACTAGAATTAGTTGATCACAGAAACCAGACAATAACAGAGGGTAAACTAGAATTAGTTGATCACAGAAACCAGACAATAACGGAGGGTAAACTAGAATTAGTTGATCACAGAAACCAGACAATAACGGAGGGTAAACAAAAGTTTGGTGATCACAGAAACCAGACAATAATAGAGGGTAAACTAGAATTAGTTGATCACAGAACCAGACAATAACAGAGGGTAAACTAGAATTAGTTGATCACAGAAACCAGACAATGACGGAGGGTAAACAAAAGTTTGGTGATCACAGAAACCAGACAATATAAGGTAATCACAGAAACCTGACAATAACAGAGGATAAACTAGAGTTAGGTAATCACAGAAACCTGACAATAACAGAAGATAAACTAGAGTTAGGGGATCCCAGACACCAGAATATAACGGATGGTAAACAAGAGTTTGGTGATCACAGAAACCAGACAATAACAGAGGGTAAACTAGAATTAGTTGATCACAGAAACCAGACAAAAACAGAGGGTAAACTATAGTTAGGTGATCACGGAAACCAGACAATGAGGGAGGGTAAACTAGAGTTTGGTGATCACAGAAACCAGACAATGAGGGAGGGTAAACTAGAGTTTTATGATCACAGACACCAAACAATAATGAAGGGTCAACTAGATTCACCTGATCAAAGATTGAGTCTGGCTCTAAACATCAACCACTAAATAATCCTTATGCAGATTGGCAAATTTAAATTGACATTGTTTTTAGTGGCTCATTTCATTGTATTAAAATTTTAAAGTATCATTTATTATCCATAAACCTCAAATGGACAATGAGAAATAATACCTTTATTTGGCCAACAAAATTAAACACAGCACTGAGTACCTACTATGTCAGACTCCCCTCTTAAAATTTATGACATTAGTATAATTACTAATTATAGAATTTTGTATCTGATGAATACTAAACTAATTTACTAATTGTTTTTAACAATTTGATACTTAATTTGTCAATGATGGGTCAAACCAATAAACATGGATATGACAAATGAGTTCAGAGGTCAAATGAATATGCATGTATTTATCAGCAGTGATATCCATTCAAAGGTTAGATTAAGTTAGATTCTTTACATTCATTCAAAGCTGTAGAAACTAAGGTAAGTTACATTCTTTACATTATCTTTTTTAAAATGAATTTCTTAATTCAAATAAATTTAATCTCTATTATATCTGCATTTTATTTAAATGCATAACCAAAACTGCTACTCATAATTAAAAGAATGAAATGTTTCAAGTTTTGAATATCAGTAAATACAACTAATCATTCATGTTTAGATGGATCATAGTGGTTTTAATCTTTTTTATGATAATAATTTTTATTCAACATTATGTAAATTCATAATGATTGTACAGTATAATTTTAAACCCATCCCCTTCTATAAAAAATAAAATAATAAAATAAATAAATAATATTTTTATAAAAATAAATAAAACAGCATTACCTGCAAAGGTCATACCATGACATTTAAAATGTGTAAGTTGTAAATTTCAAGTTCTTATAACTTAAATTTTTTCAAATGTAGTGGCAAATTTCAATTATATATGTACCACTTTGGACGTCCATAAAACAGAACATTATGCCTCCCTCACAGTATAAACAAGTGTCACTAACAGATGAGATGTAAAAAAGAATGTAAAAAACATGACTATATACATATATATATATCATGAATATCATGAAGTGGACACACTCATGTAATGAAATAGCTATTTGTACATAATAGCATAATGATTAGAATACTTCAAAGTTTTATTTCTTTTATCTTAAAGTTTATAAGTTGACAAGTAGATCAAATTTACATAAAAACATATGACTGTGGCAAGTTAAAAAATTGAAAACAACATGTGTAATAATTTCATGCGTATGAAGCGCTTTTCTGGATTAAGGTGTAAATGTCCCTTAGATTGGTAAATGTCAAGGAAACCAAATCCAACAAGTACCTGGTATAAACTTCCATATATAGTAGAACAATTATAGATAACTGAGAAGTTGGTTATATGTCAATGAAACAGCAACCCAATGATACATTAAAAAGTAAAATAACAAAAATACCGAACTCCAAGGAAAACTCAAAACGGAAAGTCCCTTATCAAATGGCAAAATCAAAAGCTCAAACACATCAAACGAATGGAAAACAACTATCATATTCCTGACTTGGTACGTCCTGGCATTTCCTTATGTAGAAAATGATGGATTAAACCTGGTTTTATAGCTAGCTAAACCTCTCACTTGTATGACAGTCACATATAATAAAGCAATGTCCTATTTGTTTCATTATTAAATATCAACTTTAAGAATAAATAAATATATATTTTAAGAGATAATTTTTCTGTTTGTTTTAAATTCCAGGTCTGCAATCATGTTTAAAGTCAGATTTACATACCAAGCCTCCGTAGATACAGACATCAACCTTTGTGTCGGGGATATTATATCCAATGTCGAGGATGTCAGTAATGGCTGGTCTATGGGGCTAAATATATCAACTGGTAAAACTGGAACATTTCCAACTAATTTCATTGTCAAGAAATTGTCATTCAAAGACAAGGTCAAAAGAATGTCATTGGCAAAGAAGATGACTGATGAATTAGTCCTGATGTCCAAAAACAACAGCGAAAGTACAGAAACTTTGGTTCCTCGGAATAAGGCAGAAATTCCTGATCATGTCTTACAAAGAAGACTAACTCGTGTTCCTGGACATTCAAATATTATAGGTGTCAAACTTCCTAAAATGGTTCCAAAGCCAGTCAAATCCTTTGGAAACAACCTGGTCCAAAGTAGTCGTGGTGAATATAGGATCCTGAAAGCCATCTTTGGGATATTTGGAGGTTTTATTGCCTGTGGAATCCTGTTTGTTCTTTTACGATACAGTTATGATTATTCTCTACAAAACTCTTGCTACATAACACTTGGATTATCCCTTCCTATATGTGTAGCATTAGCCCTGTCTACGCACATGAGATGCATCTTTTTACTGATGGTTCCAAACCTGTTCACTGGAAAAGGACGAGCTGTATTTATGTCCATTATTTTTGCCATGTTACTTGCTGGTCCTGTAGTCAACATTGTATACAATGCAGAGCAAGCATCTGAATCAATGGCCTGCACCCAGGAACTGATCTACAACCAGACTTCTATCCTCAGAAGTCAGCTTGAAGAACCAATCAGAAGAATAGAACGGACAATTTATGAAGGCCTTGACAAGTTGAAGAACATTGCAAATTCTATTAAAAGTGCTATTGCACCAGTTACTAATGCAGTTGATGCTTTTGTGAATGGTCTCAATGCAGCTAAGAATGCACTAGAAAATGCAGCTAAGGTATTAGTTTAATTTACTTTAGTGAAACAGTTATGGTATCATATTTGCAGTTTAAGAAAAAAAGATATGAAATAGAATTTATCCGTGCTTTTTTCACAAGTAGCTTGTTAGGAAGCAGAACAAATAAATGTAACATGTATATTTTAATTGCTATTTATTTAGAGTTCTTCAAAGGAATTTTGTATTATGGGACATTAATTGGACTGACACTGTTCGAAATTTGTCAATCCATGATGTCATACATTCTTTCTCTGGACTGAGAAGAAATTAGCAGTTGCTAATGGACCTCAGATACTAGCGGTTATTATATATCTCAAGCAGGTTGCATGATATGAAAAATTATCATCGAAAGATCAAAGAAAAATATACCAAATAGCGATTAACAGAGATAACAATTTTAATTATACCATACCAAGATAACAAATACCAATAGTAACTATATATAAGATAACAAATACCATTAGTAACTATATATAAGATAACAAATACCAATACATGTAGTAACTATATATAAGATAACAAATACCAATAGTAACTATATATAAGATAACAAATACCAATAGTAACTATATATAAGATAACAAATACCAATACATGTAGTAACTATATATAAGATATATGAGTACTAATTGTAAGATCCCAAAATATCAGGGCTAATTGCAAGATCCCAAAATATCAGTGCTAATTGTAAGATCCCAAAATATCAGTGCTAATTGTAAGATCCAAAAATATCAGTAATAATTGTAAGATCCCAAAATATCAGTACTAATTGTAAGATCCCAAAATATCAGTACTAATTGTAAGATCCCAAAATATCAGTATTAATTGTAAGATCCCAAAATATCTATAATTTATAAGAACAAAGATATAAGTACTATTTTTAAGACACCATCAAAACTAATAATAAGTTTTCAATATATCAGTCTTAATAATTAGATACAAATATATCAGAACTAGTTATAAGATACCAATATATCAGTTAAAATTATAACATACCAAGATATCTTCATGATTAGACAGTAATAAATCATTATGATAAGATATGAAAATATCAGTACTTATTATAAGATGCTGATATCAGAACTTAATTCAAGAGAATAAAAGAACAGAGTTCCAGTGTCCTCTGTGTTGCACATATTTTTTCTATCCAAGGTACAAGGGCCATTACTAAAAAAAAACACTTTTTTTTGTTCTTTAAAAACTTTTTATAAATATCTTAGAAAAATGAAGGCTTTGGAGCAATTACAATGCGATTTCCATTACAACTAATATTTCCAAGGGGCATAACTCGTTAAAAATAATTATATTTGACACAGCATAGGTTTCTGACACAGAATGAATGTGGTCTAAGAACTTAAAATTTTTTAATTTACCTATTCAAACCATATCATTATTATTTGCTTTTATATATAAATCAGAAATAACCAATTTAAAATAGAAAATTTTAAAGAAAAAAAAAATCCCTCCCCTAAATTTTTTTAACCCCCTTATGATTCATCACCCCCAAACTCAATCCCAGCCTTCCCTTTGTGGTATGGTACCTTGCAGTACAATTTCAGAGAGATCCATACACTTGAACACAAGTTATTGTCTGGAAACTAGAAAAATGCTTGTTTTTAGGCCCGTTTTTGGCCCCAAATTCCAAAACATTTCGGGCAATTACCCCCAAACTCAAACCCAGCTTTCCTTTTGTGATATGGAACCTTGTAGTACAATTTCATAAAGATCCATACACTTACACACAAGTTATTGTCCTGAAACTAGAAAAATGCTTGTTTTTTGCCCCTTTTTGGCCCCTAATTCCTAAAATTTTGAGGCAATTACCCCAAAAATCAATCCCAGCCTTCCCTATGTGGTATAGTACCTTGCAGTACAATTTCAGAGAGATCCATACACTTGAACACAAGTTATTGTCTGGAAACTAGAAAAGTGCTATTTTTGGCCCCTTATTCCTAAACGTTATGGGCAATTACCCCCAAACTCAATTCCAGCTTTCCCTTTGTGATATGGAACCTTGTAGTTCAATTTCAGAAAGATCCATACACTTACACACAAGTTATTATCATGAAACTAGAAAAATGCTTCTTTTTTGGCCCCTAATTCCTAAAATTTTCAGGCAATTACCCCCAAAATCAATCCCAGCATTCCCTTTGCGATATGGAACCTTGTGGTACAATGTCAGAGAGATCCATACACTAACACACAAGTTATGTCTGGAAGTTACAAAAATGCTTATTTTTGGCCCCTAATTCCTTAACTGTTGGTACCATAACCCCCAAAATCAATCCCAACCTTCCTTTTGTGGTATTGAACCTTATGGTAAAATTTCATGGAGATCCATTCACTTAAACTATAGTTAGAGTGCAAAATCCAATGTGTCTTCGGACGACGACAACGACGACGACGCCAACGTCATACCAATATACGACCAACAAATTTTTAATTTTTGCTGTCGTATAAAAATCACATATACAATGTATGTCACAGGAACCACAAAATAACTTAAGTGTTACTTATATAAAACACAAGGTAAGCCACAGACAATAAAATATAAAGAGAATCTAGTCATATTTGTTTACTTTGTTATATCTTCCTATCTAAAGCTAAATGTTATTTGATATGACTCAAACATTATTAGTAACTTTCTCTGCTTTTCTATTATTTCCTCCCTTTTACCTGTTTTCTTTGATTTCTAGTTTTTCTCCTTTTAAATACGTTTCCACACATTTCTTTTTTTCTCCCTGTATCACTGTACTTTTTATTTTCCTAGGAGTGTAGTAATGGTATTAACACAGCTCAGTCTAAATGTGAGCAGGGAATCAACAGTGCTAAATCCGAGTGTGAAAAAGCACTTAATTCTGTTGACCCTACAGACGATATTATCAACTTTGGGAAAGACGTGGCTAATACTGGGGATTCAGTAGTGAGGTCAATTGGAAATGGTTTCCGTAGGGTGTTTGGGAAAAAAAGGAAAAGAAGGAGAGCTATGACAGAGGAAGAGAAAAATGCAATAGAGTTAGCTAAACAGCTGATTGGGCAAGACACACCATTACAAAGATATGGTATCTACCTAAAATCTAGGAATGCTGAGAAGATAACCAATGACACCCGACTGCATAAACAGCATTCACTGAAAAGGTAGGTTAGAGAATAAACATAAACCACATGTACTGAAATGGTAGGTTAGAGAATAAACATAAACCACATGTACTGAAAAGGTAGGTTAGAGAATAAACATAAACCACATGTACTGAAATGGTAGGTTACAGAATAAACATAAACCACATGTACAGAAATGGTAGGTTACAGAATAAACATAAACCACATGTACTGAAATGGTAGGTTACAGAATAAACATAAACCACAAGTACTGGAATGGTAGGTTAGAGAATAAACATAAACCACATGTACAGAAATGGTAGGTTACAGAATAAACATAAACCACATGTACTGGAATGGTAGGTTACAGAATAAACATAAACCACATGTACTGAAATGGTAGGTTACAGAATAAACATAAACCACATGTACTGAAATAGAAAGTTAGAGAATAAACATAAACCACATGTACTGAAATGGTAGGTTACAGAATAAACATAAACCACATGTACAGAAATGGTAGGTTAGAGAATAAACATAAACCACATGTACTGAAAAGGTAGGTTAGAGAATAAACATAAACCACATGTACTGAAATGGTAGGTTACAGAATAAACATAAACCACATGTACAGAAATGGTAGGTTACAGAATAAACATAAACCACAGGTACTGAAATGGTAGGTTACAGAATAAACATAAACCACAAGTACTGGAATGGTAGGTTAGAGAATAAACATAAACCACAAGTACAGAAATGGTAGGTTGAGAATAAACATAAACCACATGTACTGAAATAGAAGGTTAGAGAATAAACATAAACCACATGTACTGAAATGGTAGGTTACAGAATAAACATAATACACATGTACAGAAATGGTAGGTTAGAGAATAAACATAAACCACATGTACTGAAATGGTAGGTTACAGAATAAACATAAACCACAAGTACTGGAATGGTAGGTTAGAGAATAAACATAAACCACAAGTACAGAAATGGTAGGTTAGAGAATAAACATAAACCACATGTACTGAAATAGAAGGTTAGAGAATAAACATAAACCACATGTACTGAAATGGTAGGTTACAGAATAAACATAAACCACATGTACAGAAATGGTAGGTTAGAGAATAAACATAAACCACATGTACTGAAATGGTAGGTTACAGAATAAACATAAACCACAAGTACTGGAATGGTAGGTTAGAGAATAAACATAAACCACAAGTACAGAAATGGTAGGTTAGAGAATAAACATAAACCACATGTACTGAAATAGAAAGTTAGAGAATAAACATAAACCACATGTACTGAAATGGTAGGTTACAGAATAAACATAAACCACATGTACAGAAATGGTAGGTTAGAGAATAAACATAAACCACATGTACTGAAATGGTAGGTTACAGAATAAACATCAACCACATGTACTGAAATGGTAGGTTAGAGAATAAACATAAACCACATGTACAGAAATGGTAGGTTAGAGAATAAACATAAACCACATGTACAGAAATGGTAGGTTAGAGAATAAACATAAACCACATGTACAGAAATGGTAGGTTAGAGAATAAACATAAACCACATTCACTGAAATGGTAGGTTAGAGAATAAACATAAACCACATTCACTGAAATGGTAGGTTAGAGAATAAACATAAATCATGAAGATTGCAATTCAAATGATACATACAAAAAATTCTTCCAACATTTAGTCAAATACATATGGCATTTTATGATCCGGACATTCTTACTGCTTAGAACACATACGGTACATACCAACAAAAGTTGTCTTGACATGATGCAAAAATGAACAAACTAACTGTGCTATATTAAAACATGTGTTTCAAGGATTAAGACATTTATTTGTTGCCTTTATTGTATTTATTTTGCACCTTCTTTGTTTGGTTTAAGTATTTTTCAGAGGAATGATATCAATGGCATTATTGATATTATTTTTCAAACTGGACATTTTGGTAACTAAAAAGAAAATCAAAAAATAAATTGCTACAAAGTCTGCTTAACACAAAAATGTGCCTCAAAGTATAAGTCGAATTACAGTATTTCAGTTTATCAATCATGAACATTTAATTTCCTTTGTAGGTCAAAGAGAGGGGTTTTGGATAAGATATGTGTCGTTCTTGACATTGGCGATGTTTGTAAAGTTGTCCAAGTAGCCAATGTTCTCGTCTGTAAGCCTATTAAATTCATATCAACTGTCATAGAAGGTGCGAATAATGCGGTTAATTCCGTCCTTAACACTGTCATCTCCTTCTTTTATTTTGACTTTGATGGAGGTATCAGTGCAACTGGAAATATCAATTCCTCAAAAACAGCAGCACAAATCATTTCCGAAGTGAAAGCTGACATACAGTCTAGAACTAAATGGATTCTAACAGTATCTGGTATAGTCAGTAACATTCTCATCATCACTCTATTGTTATTATTTCTCAAGTCAATCTTCTATCTTAAGAAGTTCCTCAGTAAGGATCGCTATGACAATATCTACATTACAAAGGCTTTCAAGATTTATGACCAGCAATGCAAAGCACAGGGAAAACCATCAGTTTTGCCACTGAAGAGAAAGGAACGCAGAAACTATGCAGACACTCGGTCACCATGGCTGTCATCAAAAGAAATAGCTCATGCTAAAACTGGTATTACTAAAATTGGAATTCATCTCTTGATAGCTACTGTTATCATTGTCTTTGACTATGTCCTTTACTTTGTTCTGATGCTCATTGATCGCTATGGTAACCTGAATATAAATATTGGTGGCAACAGTTATCTGAATGTATCAGTAGAAGGCAGTGGATTTATTTCAGCATTTTTGAGAGCTTTCCTAACCACTGTTGAATTGAATTCTGACTTTGGTGTAGAGTTTAACCTAACAACTTGTATCCCTAATCCCAGTAAACCAGATGACAATAATATCTACAAGTTTAGTTTTCTTTACTTCTTTGCATTTGTATTCCTTATAATGCAGGCTTATGGTTTACGTTTAAGAAGGAAAATTGTCACATTCTTCTATCCAGAACGAGATATTGAGAGGATAAAATTTCTTCATGAGAAAATACGACACCAGAGAAAATCCCTGTTGAATTGGCTGACCCAGCATGTCATATCTCGTAACAAGCAATTCCATATGGAAAATCGTATAACTTTCCGTGGATGGATGGAATACCGCTGTCCAATATTTGCTAGATATTTTTGCCCTTGTCTACCGAAATACAAGATATGCATAAGTTGTGAAAATAAGCACAATGGTACAATTCAATTCCATCAATGTGAGAAATGTCAGTCTAATTATTGTGAGGAATGTTTTGGAGACATGAAGTACAGTTGTCTCATTTGTAATACTAAATCAAACATGTAAAAACCTCATGCTTACCTATAGCAACATTCTGTCCTGAACATGGATTCTTCACAAAAGTGGAGTGTGTACATTTAATATCATACATATACATATATATATATATATATATCTACTTTAACCGAAAAATATACTATGAATCAATAAATATTTGTGGATAAATTCTCTCTTCCTTTTGAATAAGAAACAAAAGACAGAGCAATTATCCAAACAACAGACATTGCAGTTCATTCAATAACAGACAACAACAGATAATGCAATCTACCCAAAATCAGACAGTGCATTCCACCCAATAACAGATAACAGACATTGCAATTCGCTCAAAACAGAAAGTGCAATTCACCTAACTGTAGACAGTGCAACTCATCTAACTGGACACTTCAGTTCACCCCTACCCCCAAACAAAAAGCAAAACAATACACATACAGTGTAATTCACAGAATAAGATAATCACGAGAAAGAGACATAAACACAACATTACTGTTTTTGTCTCAATCGATTTATGACTTTCGAACAGCGGTATACTACTGTTGCCTTTATTTACAGCATAATTTTGTCACTCAACCATGAAATATATGTCTTGGTGACACAAATTAAGTATTTAACAGTATTGTACTATACAAGATAAGTGTTGAATTATTTGTATCTGATTATAAGTACCCTTTTAAAATTAATGAACCCTACTTATTAATTTCTGGAAACAAAGACAAAATGCATTCTTAATGTTCTGTGGATTCATTATTATTCGTCAGATACCAAATTTCCTTGATTTATTTGGGAACAGGTGAACAACAATTTACAAATTTTCTATAGGCTTGTATGCCGACGTTGGCAAAATCATTATATTAAATATTCACAAAAAGTTTTCCACAATCCACAAAAATTGGTACTCATGAAAATAAATCAATCCACAGTAATCACCAGAAACATTATCCTGTCATCAAAAAGCCTTGCATATAATTCAGACAGGCTTCGATCGTACAATGTGTCATAAAAATAGATTCAAATGATACTTCAGTTAAAAACACTGCAACATGGAGACTTGTTTTTTTCATTTTCTCTGTAATTTAAAGTTAGCTCAAGTACTTCATTTTATGGCAATGAAATCATGCCCTCTAATGAGACCCCAAGGGTTGACTATTGTATAGAATATGATCATACCTTTACTTCTCCCCTATAGCACTAAAACCCTTGTGTTGGGCTTCAATTTGTCATCGCATAGTGTATAAATACAGTCATTTCAAGTCAAAATGGCGACATTAAATCTTATGCCCCATGAAGGGTGAGTGATATGCTCTCTGTATGTCAAAGAACCCTAGCAAGAACTCCTGTGGGATCTGTATCTGGCCTGTCCAAGACAAAAATTGTTGCCACTATCAAACATATCCTCATTATCTAGTGGCAATCTAAAGTTACTGTGAATCTTCCTGGTCAATTAATTAAAAAATCTTATTCGCTTTTTCAGAATCTAAAGGATTATGGGTAATTTCATTGTTCATACCCCAAAATGAAAATAACTCCATTGTCAGTGGTTGAATTTCCATTGTTTAGGATGTTGTTAGCCAATGGCAAAAAATCGGTGCAAGGTTTTGAAAATATTACCCAAAATGCATTAGATTCTGAATTAAACTGTGAATTATATTAATTGTTAATTTGATCTACTTCTAAAATATGCATGAACTATTTGCCACTGTTCATCAAGCAAGTAAGAAACAATCAATCAATCAATATTACATTAAAACATAAGCTATGGCAATGAAGGACATTTAATAGCATGTTTTTTTTAATTAGTCAGCACTCAATCTTATTTAGAAAAAGACAAATACAAGATTTCATAAATTTTCTGTGTCACAGGAAACAAAAACAAAAAAGAAAACAACAATTAATTGACAAGGAAATAAAATTAACATCTTTGTTCATAGGAAATGTCTCTTTTCCTTTAAAGGGTTCCCCAGGAAATGATTATACAGTTCAAGTAAATTTAACATTTCCTTTAAAGGGGCATTAGCTAAGAGTTGTACAAAAATTTAAAATATGATTCTTTTTGTTTCAAGTATCAATAGAAGCGAAATTTTGAAATAATATTTAGTTACAAGCAGTTAGTTTGGCCCAAATTTGTCAAAATAAGCTTATAAACATTGCTGATGTATTATATACTTCACTTGCAAGTGAATAATTCGACCTCATGTGAATCTGTATTCATGTGAACTTCAATTTAACCGCTTAGCCAGAGATGGGGTACGCATGTAATAGGCGTGTTCGACTATTAAAAGGAAAAGAATGTATACATTGAAAGTGAAACAAGGGTGAACCATTTTGTTGACTGATTCAATCCCAAAAAAAAAATCCTTCTTATACAGGTAAAAAAACGATGATTAACATATCGTTTTAACCTATAACATGAAATCAAACAGACCTAGAAAATTCAATTGCATGTGGTCGCTTTCTATTTCTATTTCTATTTATGTTCATATCGGGTTAAATGACCGTCGGCAGTCTTCCGAGGTCATCTCAATGGTTAATTAGATGGCGTCTAGACTAAAATACACATGAAATGCTGATATTTTATCGAGTCCATGTATTGTTAATTGTTTATTTTAGACTTTTTGTATTTTAGTATGTTATACATCAAATATGTAAATCTGAGGTAAGAAAAAAAATAAATGGAAAATGAGTCCCCATGGACACAGATAATGCCCCCGCTTGCATACAACATTATAAAAGGGACATAACTCAAAAACAATAAAAGTGACGCTTCCCAAATTTGTACTAGATCTGAGTTTTGTGGTAATAAGTATTGTGAATAGGTTTCATAATGTTTGGTTGGGGCAAACTTAAGTTACAGAACGGAAACTAAAAATTTTGCAATTTTTCGATTTATAAAGGGGCATTACTCGGTAATGGTTAAAGTGACGCCACTAAAATTCACCTTGATCTGTGTCTTGTGGTAATGAGCATTGTGTATAAGTTTTATAACATTTGGTTGAGGCAACTTAAGTTAGAGAACAGAAACTAAAAATTTTGCATTTTTTTTTCCATTTATAAAGGGGCATAACTCGAGAATGGTTAAAGTGACCCCAACAAAATTCAAACTTGATCTGTGTTTTGTCGTAAAAAGCACTGTGTATAAGTTTCATAACTGGTGGATGTTATGTCCCCGAGAGTTATCTTCTTATATGCCAATGCTGGTGGATGTTACGTCCCCCAGAGTTATCTTCTTATATGCCAATGCTGGTGGATGTTACGTCCCCGAGAGTTATCTTCTTATATTCCAATGCTGGTGGATGTTACATCCCCAAGAGTTATCTTCTTATATGCCACTACTGGTAGATGTTACGTCCCCGTGAGTTATCTTCTTATATGACACTGCTGGTGGATGTTACATCCCCAAGAGTTATTTTCTTATATGCCACTACTGGTAGATGTTACGTCCCCGTGAGTTATCTTCTTATATGACACTGCTGGTGGATGTTACATCCCCAAGAGTTATTTTCTTATATGCCACTACTGGTAGATGTTACGTCCCTGTGAGTTATCTTCTTATATGACACTGCTGGTGGATGTTACGTCCCCCAGAGTTATCTTCTTATATGCCAATGCTGGTGGATGTTACGTCCCCGAGAGTTATCTTCTTATATTCCAATGCTGGTGGATGTTACGTCCCCCAGAGTTATCTTCTTATATGCCAATGATGGTGGATGTTACATCCCTGAGAGTTATCTTCTTGTATGCCAATGCTGGTGGATGTTACGTCCCTGAGAGTTATCTTCTTGTATGCCAATGCTGGTGGATGTTATGTCCCCCGAGAGTTATCTTATGTATGCCAATGCTGGTGGATGTTACATCCCTGAGAGTTATCTTCTTGTATGCCAATGCTGGTGGATGTTATGTCCACCGAGAGTATCACCAGCCCACTAGTTTGCACTTTTGTGCTGATGAAATATCACTGATATTTATTTTCATGTTCTGTAAATCTAATGTTTATAATAAAATGCTTCGCTGGGGCGCAGCTTGATACGACCGCAGAGGTCGAACCCTGAACAGTTGGGGCAATTATGGACACAACATTCAAGCTTGATACAGCTCTGAATTTGGATTGTTATTAAATATTTGACACAGCATAGGTTTCTGACACAGAATTTACCTATTATGGTCCAATGTCCAAAATCAAAATACATGGTTAGATTCAGCATATCAAAGAACCCCATATATTCAATTTTTGTTAAAATCAAACAAAGTTTAATTTTGGACCCTTTGGACCTTAATGTAGACCAATTTAAAAAACGGGACTTAAAATTAAAAATCTAAATACACAGTTAGATTTGGAATATCAAAAAACCCCAATAATTCAATTTTTGATGAAATCAAACGAAGTTTAATTTTGGACCCTTTTGACCTCAATATGAACCAATTTGATAGCGGGGCCCACAAATAAAAAATCTAAGTTCATGGTTAGATTCAGCATATCAAAGAACCCCATATATTCAATTTTTGTTGAAATCAAAAAAAAATATAATTTTGGACCCCAACTTGGACCAACTTGAAAACTGGGCCCATAATCAAAAATCTAAACACATGTTTAGATTCAGCATATCAAAGAACCCCAAGAATTCAATTTTTGTTAAAATCAAACTAAGTTTAATTTTGGACCCTTTGGACCTCAATGAAGACCAATTTAAAAAACGGGACCCAAATTAAAAATCTAAAAACACGGTTAGATCTGGCATATCAAAGAACCCCAATAATTCAATTTTCGATGAAATCAAACAAAGTTTAATTTTGAACCCTTTTGACCTCAATATGAACCAATTTGATAGTGGGGCCTACAAATAAAAAATCTAAATACATGGTTAGATTCAGCATATCAAAGAACCTCATATATTCAATTTTTGTTGAAATCAAACAAAGTTTAATTTTGGACCCCAATTTGGACCAACTTGAAAACTGGGCCCATAATCAAAAATCTAAATACATGTTTAGATTCAGCATATCAAAGAACCCCATATATTCAATTTTTGTTGAAATCAAACAAAGTTTAAATACTGGAACCTATCTTGGACCAACTTGAAAACTGGGCCCATAATCAAAAATCTAAACACATGTTTAGATTCAGCAAATCAAAGAACCCCAAGAATTCAATTTTTGTTAAA